AGGTCTAAATCGCAGAGGAAGGATCATCCTAATCCAACTCAGAATCGTGACACATTAACACTTACTTTTAGGCCAAAGCCATCGTATTGCTCAATGTGACCCACTTAACTGAAGGGATGCTCCATATAAAGAGCAAGTAGGAATGCCACCCAATATGAAAATTGTACTCAAGTCAGCCGCGAATCTTTGGAATCCCTGTTCAGATTTTTGATGGAAGTAGAAATATTTTCGTATTTTTAGATTTTTTATTGTACTTAACGGTTGGTTATATGAAACGTTTCGTGAGAGATTTATTTATGTTAACTGTTTGGGGAGATTTTTTTTATAAAGGTGAATGGGTAGTGGTCGATGATAGAATATATAGATATAGTACGCTATATCTCTACATGAGTGAATGGTATAATGTTTGCATTCCATTTTTTTGCTGTCATTCCTTGGTTCCATATAGAAAATGAGCAATAATCACGCCAGACATGTGTATTGTGCTTGAACAAGCAGGATTGGCTGTTTTATTGAGCATAGTACTGGGCATATATGTCGTTTTTGTATTTAATTGTGTGTATATTGCTAGTAAATGTATTTGTACGTGTGAATGCGTAGAGTCAGAGGTACATGAGGAATAACGAGTATCAAATAAACCCTCAATTAGATAACCTACTTGAGTGAATAAATAGGACATAATGTAATTAAGAGTTAGTGGTTTAGGTTTACAAACGGCATGCGTCGGGGACTAAAATGACCTAGCTGTTGACAGCCCCTGAAGCCTAACTTGGGCGGTGGTACGGATAATACCGAGATCAAGAAGTCGTAAGTTCTATCCTGTAAAAGCGTGTAGACTTGAATTTACATATACCAGCAATTATAATATAATGCTATGGACACCAAGACAAACAATATTAAACATTTTTCTTTTGAAATAGGATTATCTTATACACAACATCTAGCGTGCTATATAAAAAGTTTGAATTGTAGGAATACATCATTTTGTTTGTAGGCGTATCTATACAACATCTAACTATTTAATCAGAAAGTGTGTATTTTAAAGAAAGAACAGCGATAAAATGTTCAGTGTAGTGTAAAAATCAGCCCATAGTACAAAAATACTTTTATCAAGAGATAGTTTGAAGGCCGCTGATTAAATTTTTCAATAATTACTGCTAATCGTCTAAATCTCACAATTGTCATTTATATTGCAGAATGAGTCGTTTTTAATAGGATTTACAGAGCAAACTAAAGAAAGTGTTATTTCGGGCCGATTTTCACTCCACAGTTTAAACAAGAGTGCGTTGATTTGTAACGTTTCTATGCTCTTGTCCTTTTCTATAAAACAACAAAAATCCTTTGAAAATTAAATTCTTTACTAAAGCATAAAGTTCAGTTTATGTTAAAGGGTTTATTTTAAGATTACCAGTTCAAAGTGCATGATATATTTTTGCTTGCTTACTAAGCTGTTTTGAAATTATTAAAAATATAACGTAAGAGAGCTACGGTTTAAAGAGGTTGAGGTTGGTACAAAATTACCATTTCGCGAATATCATGGTGTTTCTCCTGTTCTTTTGTAAATAGGATGAGAATTTTTAAAACAAAATTGGATTAACCTAAAAGGAATTCGAGGCTAAATCTAAAAATTGAGTAAAAAATTGGGAAAAGTTACGTTAGAAAGGAGAAAATTCAGATTTTTATGTAAAGAAAAGTGTTTTTCTTAAATAAACTCTAAAAAAATCGTATCTTTTGAAAGGATTGAGTTAAAACCGTAAAAAATTTAACACGCTGACTACCTGTATATCAATTGATTCTTCTTTTAAGGTAGGATATGAAAATAGCATGCAGGATCTAGGATATGAAGTGAAATTAAATAGGTAAAAAATGAGAAAAACCAAAAGACTAAGTAAAGTAGGCTAACCAAATGTGTAAAAAATGTTAGATTTTTTAGGCAGAATAAGAAAATATTGCGTAATATCGTATAAAGTCGTTTTCAATAAAGTAGGCTAAAAACATTTCTTATGAGTTTTCATCGCCTAAAAAGTCCTTAAATACAAATTTTTATAGCAAACAAAATATACAAATTGGGGGGGTGGATCAGTGGGGTATTTTTTTACCAATGTCCTGCGGTTCACTTACAAATTCATATTTCCCCTCAATTTTAACAAATGTGTTGTTGTTGAACCGATGTAAAACTACATTTGTCGTCATTGAGTAATACATGAAATACATAACTATTTTCTGACCGAGCAATGTATCAGAGCAGGAGAAAATATTTTTTATTAGGAAGAAACATAGTTGATATTCGTTTTATGCACCTAAAAAACTTGTTTTGGGAAAAATAATTTAAATTAATTCTCTCAAATTATTTACTTTTCAATGCGTAAGATTTTTTTGGAAAATAACAAAAATTGTGATAACTTTCAAACAACTCCGTTGATCTTCAGGAAACTTCACAGGGGTTTAGGACCATATAAACTCCACGTAATTGCATAAATCCCGCTCCAGTAAATGAATTTGAATTCAATTCAATTAAAATAAGACATAAAATCAAGACATTGCTGACAAAGACAGAAAGAAGAGACATCTAAAAGTTGTAATGACATTGAATTCGGATAAAATCCAGCGGAGTTATGAATTTTCAAGCGTAACACTGGTCATCGGTTAAAAACAAATGGCCAGGACTGATCCACCACTAAAATGTCTGTTTTTTTGTTTGCCCTAAAAATTTCATATGTAAGAGCTTTGAAGGGTGCTTAAAACTAATCCGGATTCTTTTCCTTTCTCATTTAACACTATCCTGAATGAATATTTTTTTGTACTACCTTCAAAAAAGAACATTTTTGGAACCTTTTTTTTAAACGATTGATACATATTAATCATGAAATAAATGTACAACATAGATAGAAAACCACATGTAAAACAATTATATAACTTACTTAAAAAAATTCAGTGCGCTGAGAGTCGCGAAATAATTACGATTGTGTTTTTGTTGATTTCATATTTTTTCTCACTTATAAAATCATAAAACAAAGGTTGTACTCTCAAAGAGGAGAAATGTAAATTTATAACAGTTGTGATACCGTGAACATTGGATAAAATTCAGTGGAGTTTTCTTCACCATAAAAAAGCCGTATTTAAGAGCTTTAAAAGGTGCTTAAAGCGAATCCATTGTACTCTCAAAGAAGAAAAGGCAGCTTTCTAATGGTTGTAATATTGTGGATATTGGATAAAATCCAAAGGAATTACTAATTTTTACACGGACCACATGTCCTCCGAGAAATAAAGCCTCATTTGTTTGATTTAATAAGTCTATGTGCTTTAAATGGTGCTTAAAACGACTTTTCTAGAAAAAAAGTTGCTCCTGGCTGATCGAGACCGAAAATTTCTCTATTAGTTTTACTATAAAAAAAATCATATTTAAAGTTTTTAAAGAGTGCTTGAAACTAATCAGGATTCTTTTTGAATATTTTCTTGTCCTACTTGACTAGAAGCGTCTGGTTTTTGTAACTTTTTATCTATTTAATCTCATTTAATCCTGCATATTATGTTCTTAATATAGGTAAGCAAGTAAATGGAACGATATATAGAAAACTGAAAGTACATTCACAACAATGGCAGAGAACTGCATTTAAAACTGTGAGTTTTATTGAAGTCGGTGATTCCTCGTCCGTACTATTCCCTCGTTAGTGTGCTGATAAAGTAGTGTACTAATACTATATTTGCCACAATAATAATTTATTCTACTAAAAAATGAAAGTACATCGAGATTACTCAGCCTCAGTGATTGTAACAATAATTGACAACGATTTTAAATAAATCTTAATGCGTTGATGACGTATTGCTTTTAATGATATAATTTGCCAAAGATTTTTTTTAACAAAATATTTTACAGCGAGCATCCTGCATATTATTTTTTTTAAATTATAAGTAAACAAACAAATAGACTGATATATAATAACCTTAAAATACAGGCAAAATAAAGGCAGAAAACCATCTTGAATGTTAGTTGATTTTAAAACAAATTATCTATTGGTTTCATTGAAAAGAACGCATCTTTTTTTCATTCTGTATTTATCTTGGCTATTGTACAAACATGTTATGCGTTGGGTTTTCTTATTGCAACAAAAACAACCTTGCTTATTTATCCAATCAAATGCATTTTCAAAGCCTTGCGGGCTTCCTCTGGCGAACTATAAACACTATTTCGTGCTAAAGTTGAGAAAAATAAAGTTATTATATTTTATCAATCATGAATTTAATTTTTTAATGAAACCCTACATAAACATATATTAGTTATATTAATTACCATTAATAAATCTAATATGATAACTGGTGCTGGTATCATCAAAAAAGTTTCATTAAAATAAGTCATCTCACGCCCCCAGCAATATTTGAACAACTATTATTAAAATCATGAAAATCATTGAAAAAAATGTAGTGTACTAGCATAAAATATAAAAACCATAGTTATCAACAAGAATTAATTTTTGATTGTGAAACGTTAGAAAACCAAAGGTTTAAGGAAAGAACGAACACACGTGCCATTTACTTACATAAAAACCATAAATTCGATTCTTAGAGGGCTAAATATGTACCACTGTACATTTTTGTACCATTTGCTAATTTGAGGATAATTGGAATTAATAATTAAGCCTTATGACATAATCTGCTTTCTGTGAATAAAAATGTTCCACGCTTGTCATTGCTAATAACAAACGTGACACATCTTTCGGCATCTCATCATCTTCTTAATTTCGCAATTTCTCCGAGAGAAAAACAAAACCAGAACAGACTTGCGAACAATTTGTTCGACTTTAATTGTTAAAATATTGTGCAGTTGTAAAAGGATTTGAGGTGTTAAACTTTGGCATTTCACCCTTCATTTTTTAATAACTGTTGGGGGTGAAAAAGGAAAGTCACGAATTTTTACATCTATTCCATGGACGATATAGTCCACTGACAAGACAAAATGAAAATAGGGAGAAAGATAAATTGTTGGAAGTCAATTTGCTCACCGGTCATAGTGAGGGACAGGGGTCTGTTTTCCGACAACCCCTGGGCCGGAGAGGTAGGACGGTTCATCCGGGCGTCCTGGAGGTTGGATAAAGGCGGCCCCGGGGGCGGCGAGGACGAGGACGAAGTTGGCGAAGACGACGGCAGACACGCGGATTCTCATCGTAACATGACCGGTCTCGTTTCTGCGACTTGTCCGACTCGACTGGGGCCGGTGTTGGCTCGAGACTGGATCGGAAGAAAGGCCTCGCTCCGCCCCCCCTTCGAGCCATCAACAGCCGAAGCACTTCGGCCCTCCATCCACACCTCTTTCTCGTCAATGTGCAATTCGGTGTTTATGATAGTGAGAAACAGGGAATTTTCACAATTTTCACTGTGGAAATGTTATTCAAAAGTTCATCTGTATTCATAAAGAAAACTGACTGAAATTCTTATGATAATAAATGTCAATCCTAACGTAAAAATTATGTTTATAGTTTTGAAGAGGATACCAGGAAGGCTTCGAAATATGCATATAATTGAATAAATGAGCATATAATATCTAAATGCTATGTTACATATATGATAAACACCACTACAATACAGGGTGTCATTTTTAGATGGCCCGACTGAATTTCTCTTGAACCAATGACGATATAAAAAAAGAAAAATTACTTGCTTAATATTTGTTAGTCTAGTTTCAAAGTTTTACTTATTTTTGGAGAAAAATTATACAGAGTACCTCAGGCCCAGTTTAACTTCAAAATTTCAATACGACCCTACACATCTTTACACACATTTTAAAGCATTTTTTACGCTGAAAACAATGGTGCAATCAGACTTTAAAATGACAAAGTTATGGGGAAAAGAAACCGGCAGCGTAATTTCGACGAGGAGCTGAATATTTTAGTGTATGTTCGAGAAAATCCGAATTCCTCTATCCGAAATGTTGGAAGGGTTTAGGTTTTTCAAAAACTAAAATTAGAGATGTACTCCGGAATTACAATTTTAAGCCGTATCGCTCTCATTTTGTCCAGATTCGGGCCTCTGATTATGGCTGGCGTCTGATGTTGCTTGCACAAATGGCGATTTGGGAGGCTGAAGAAAACGTTCTTCCATACATCCTATGGACTGATGAATCTAAATTCACCTTTAATGAACTAAACCGTTCGAATTTTCGATGCAGAGGAAAATCCGAGAATTCCGTACTCTTGTAATCATGAGGTGGTGACACTACTAGATGATATTCCTTTGCAACAACGACAAAGAATGATTTTCCAGGTTGATCGTCACTTCAGGGATAGGTGGATACGTCCTCTGCCTCCTCGGTCACCCGATTTAACTCCACTTGACTATTTTCAGTGGGGCCATTTAAAAAACAGTATCTACCTGAATGATACCCAGCAACCTCGGTTGAAGAACTGCGGCAAAGGAAAGAAAATGTATGTTAATCCATCTCCCCGACTCTATCGCACTGAGCACCGGTGAATCTTTGCATCTTTACTTAAGGCAGGTAGTTCGAACATGAAATGTGATTAATAAATAGTAAACCAAATGAATGTTTTCTTTTTCAAACTTTGTGCAATAACTTTGTCATTTTTTGACCAACTTAAAATCCGATTGCACCATTGTTTTCAGCGTAAAAATTCTTTAAAATTATGTATCAGGATTTATAGGATAGTGTTTGAAATTTTGAAGTTGCACTGGCCTGCTGTACCCTGTATAATTTGTCTACAAAAATTTGAAACTACACTGAAAGGTTTTATTTATAGCGCCATTGGTTCAAGAGAAATTCAGCCAGGCTATCGAAAAAGGACATCCTGTACAGTAGTAGTGTTTATCATATATGTAACCTAGTATTTGGGTATTATATGCTCATTTATTCAATTATATGCATTTTTCGAAGCCCTCCTGGTTTCCTCCTATTTAAGAAAAATTGTAAGTTTTCGGGTATTTCTTCAGAAATAAACCTGCACATAACTGTGAGGGCAATATGGCATTCGGTGATTAATGAAGAGTTAATTACTGTTAAAAACTATCCCTATGAATTTGGTGAAGGACAAAAAAATTGGACTGTTATTGCAAATCGCGTATCTCTCAGCGAGAACTGATAAAAATCTTTCTTTAAAAAAACTAAAACACCAGGACATAACTCTGACCAGTTAATCAGAGAACTCAATGAGCACCTTAAGATAATCACAATTAGATTCATCACTATCAGCTGACTTCATTTTCTTGAATTTTTTAAAAATTATCTCTACCCCGACTTACAGTTCACGTTCACCGAGTGCACTCTTTTATTATATATTTCTCATGTGATTTATTGAAGATTTTATTGAGACATTTTTATTATTAATTATTGAAACTAATTATTTTATTTGAAATTCATTGATGTTTTATTTAATGTTTTCTCGCTAAGGGAGAAGTTCAGATTTTTTAAATTTATTCTCTATACTCTGATTTGATTTTGCATAAGTTTTTGCACTTTTCTAGCAGGGTTTCTAATAAAGAAAAGAGACGTTTATGATGCTGAATTTGGCAATTTTCTGATTTGTAACGGGATACTATATTTTATTATAATTTTTCTTAATTCAATTTCTTTCATACGAAACATTTCAAATGCACGTCAACAGAGGAAGTGAGCCTCTGTAATCAAATTTTATCAATATGAACCATGTTGTTCCACTAAATGTTACCATTTTCCATGTAATTTTGTGATTCCGTCCTCTCAGAATTTCTCAGGTTTTGCGAGAGATAAAATCTTCCGTATGTTTTTCCATTAATAGAGTTTTTCAGAGCCCGAATAAATGAAAATCTGAAGGGGCAATGTCAGACAACTCATTACGTTGGGTAGGATTCCACTGATGAAATCAAGCTTTTGGAGTCGTTAACAGTGAGTCGTTGCGTTTTTCCAGAGATTTTTCTCTCTGAACATTGATGTAAAAGACCCATTTTTAATCTCCTGTTATCAATTGAACGAAACTGGCGAATAAAAACCCCTCAACTAATTCTCTTTCAGATTGTGTAAACAACAATAACTGAATAAATACACATTGCTTCAAAACACAAAAGGGATAAAATAGAATTGTTGAAAAACGGCGTGGATTTAATTTATAAACCAATAATTTCATGTAGAGATAGGAAAATATATTGGTCATAATTATCGGAAAAAATTCAAGGAATTCAGTTAACAAAGTACACCAGTATCTTAATAACTTAAGTCCCTGCAATTAAAAGAGTTCAATTTGAACAAGGTACAAGTGAAACTGCTACGACAGGATTGAGGTTTGCAAAGAGAATTGTTTTATCCTTAGCATTGGTAAGAGAAAGCGTCGAGAGAAGACTGTCATGTATATGCTGAAAAGTAATGGATGTACGATCAATCGGAAGGAAGAAATGATCAGATAAATTTTAAGATGAGATAGAGTGTGCTGAAAAAAATGAATGTTTCAGCAGTACACCCTGTTGCCTGGGAGAGGTCTAGATAGACTCCAGGGCAGAATTGCTTATGCCCTAGTGATGTTGAATTTGGTGGATTTTTGTGGTCAGTAATAATGCTAGGTGTGGTTAGGATTTCTTGCAGGCAGAAAAGGAGTCAAATGTAAAGAGGCTGTCAAGAGAGTTGTTATAGAAGTTGATATTATTATTAATTTTGTTCCCAAGTCTATACAGTCTAGATAGAAGAATGGTAGAGGTAGCTGGCAGTAGTTGGAGTGGAGATAATGAGCAAGATAGGGGTTGGTTAGTAGGGATTTGGAAATTTATTAGTTGAAGTAGCTCAGGGTAGTCCTGTTATTAAGAAGTTTATACAAGAGTAGAGCCTCAAATGTAGTACGCTGATATTCAAGTGAAATTAAATTTTTTGTTTCTGCTGCAGGATGTCAATAGGAATATCATAATAGGAGGTACACATTTTGCTGCAGCTTATCCGCCTAAATAATTTGTGCTGAATTTGCTCTAATAATTTAATATAGGTATTGTAGTGCAGTGCCCAGATTTAGGAACAGGATACTAACATGGAATAGATGAGAGAAGTGTACAGGAGACTAAAAGTGGAGAGATTAAAATCTTTGGAGTAACAACACATGAAGAATAATTGCTAAGGGAAGGATAGGGTAGATTTAATTCTGCTCAAAGAGATGATGTTGCATTTGTTAATGTTGAATGTCATATAGTTGTTGATACACCACTCTTCCAGATTAATTAGTTTGGATTGTAAATAAATGCAGTCAGATTCATAATGAATTTTAGGGAATATTTTGAGATCATCAGTGAATAGGAGAAATTGATTTTAGGAGCAGAAGCAATTTTGTTATTGAAGATGTAAAATAGAAAGGGGCCTAATGTGATCGTTGGGGCACTCCATAAGACACTAAAAACGGAAAAGAATAATAGGATTTTAATTTAACATATTGTTTTCTATTGTTGAGGCAGGAAGAGAACCAACTTAAAACAGTGCTATGGAAACCAAAAATGCTTCTGAATCTATTAGAAGTGGTTGATTAACTTTGCCATATGCCTTGGAAAAGTCAGCATAAATGACAGTGTATAATGAATGTATAATGTTGTATTCATATAAGGACAAAATCAATGTATTCCTAAAAGTGTTAATTTGTTTATACAATATTACACTTATTAAAAATGAATTGATTTTATATCTTTTATTTACACTCGTTCACTACTTAATATTACAAACTGTTTTAAATAATATTAAAGAATTTTTTTTTACTCATCTCTTTCTATTAACTCACACATTGAAACTATTGTAATTAAAAGTATAAAACTACTTGTTTTCTTGAAAATGGAAGAATTTAATATTGTTAACTGTTTGAAAATGTTATTTTTTGCATTGATAAGCCCCATTTTGGAATTCAACTCAGTTGTGTGATCACTTATCAAAAATATATTCGCAGAATATATTGCACATCCACAAGAAAAGTGGCACAAGTCAAAAAAATCTAAAAACCGGATTATTTATTGTTTTTTTTAAGTATTTCAATGTGTGTTGCTACAGACTGGTAATTCCTTAAATCTATAAACACTGGAATCTTTAATATAATATAATTTTGGTCAGTCCTACTTATTTTGGAACAAAACCCTTACATAATTGCTGACTATTTGCAAATAGGCTACTGTTCTGTTTCAGTTCATTTGAAAATAATTTCTGATCTTCTTGTTATAAAAGAATTTTAAATAACAAGGAAGCAAATGATTATTTATTATTGTGTACTTGTATTTTTATTTTGTCCAATTCTGTTGG